ATTTAAAATATCTGTCAATACACTTGTTTTTTGTGATATAGTATATATATATTATGTTATTTTTTTATGTTGTTGTTTTTTGCTGTTATTTTCAATTTAAAAAATAAATATTTTTTTAAAATAATTTTTTTTTAATATTTAATATATTAGCAAAAATATAATTTATAAACAGTATATATATACTGTACTTTTTATATATATATATATATAAACCATACATAACTTTGCCAGCGCTTAGAGATTACAATCATTTCACTTTAACAAAAAAATAAATAGTTTTTTAGTGTTGTTTTTGTTGCACTAAAAAAAAGGAGTAAAATGTATAAAACTTTTTTATTAATTATAAAAAGTGACGAATAAATTAGTTTTTATATATTTATATATATACTGTATATATAATATATATAATATTATTATTATTAAATAAACTCAATGTTATGACTGCGAAAAAAAAACTACAATATTATTAATAAAAACTTATATTACTTATGTTACAGTCATGTAATTGTTGTACAATATATTATATTAATAAATATATATATATATATCTGTGTTATATAATATTTTTAACTTTTTAACCCCTTTTATCAATTTTATTTTTATGATATGTACTGTATATAAAATATATATATAAACTTTTTTTTTTGATGATATAATGTAATAATCTATTTAAAGGTCTAACTGTGTGTCTGATTAACTGTACTGTATATATATATACTGTATATAATATAAATTATATAATAAGTTTTTTATGTCATACTTTAATATATAAATTTTTTATAAAAAAATATATTTATTTTTTTTTGTTTATAATGCAATTAATTGATCATTGATTATAGAATTTATTGACTGAAAAATCTAACCAATTTTTTTTGGTATCAAATTTTGTATTTTTTTTGTTGGTATCCAATAGTATGTCTATATATATATGATATAATATTTCTTTCTAATCATTATTTTTTATATACAGTATATTTTTTTGAATGTTAATCATTATCTGATACTACACTACACTTTTTTAACACAACATTTAATAATAACAACAAAAAATCAGTGTTTCTAACGCTGTATTTTATTTTAATCATTTTATAAATAATTATATTACACATATATATATATATATACAGTATATTAATATACTGTTTAATACATATACCGATATACTGTAAAAAAAATATAAATATATAAACTATTTTGACATTAATATTATTATTTATTTTTTTGCTACAAAATACCGATTGATTAAACGGTTTAACATTATTTTATTTTATTTTTTTTGAAAAATACAAACAAACAAAAAAAACATCATCTAATTTAATACATTTTATGAGCAAATATTTTTTTAAGAAATCAAATTATATATCAAATTGACGCCCAAATACTCACTCAGTTTAGAGGAACTGGATTTTTATTTAGTCATATATTCAATATATTAAATATTTATTTTTTTTCCTACTAAGAGATGTGTAATTCAAGTACTGTTTTTTGTTGTTGTTGTTGTTGATGACATTATATATATATATATACAGTATATATATATTATATATTAATATCAATATTACATATAAATAAATTAATTTGACTCTAAAAACAAAATTTTGATTTTTTTGATTTTGATTTTTCATAATTTTCATACATGTTAGCTCTTTCTCTCTCTCTCTCTCTCTCTCTCTCTCTCTCTCTCTCTCTCTCTCTCTCTCAGAATA